TTCAATCGCACCCCCCTTGACATCGCCTCACACCTAACCCAAGTAGGGTAGGTGGAGTCAACGTCCATTCCCAGCGCAACAGGTTGGTCGACCTTACTTTAATTGGAGGGGGTGGTGGGGTCCCGCATGGAGGCTTGTGTACTGTCATATGGCTTCTTGGGGCCGGGCGCACATGTTTCAGAGGGATCGTCATGGGCACCTCCAATTAGGTAAGTATGCCACAATGACGTCCATTTTGCAGGTTCTATGGGCTGTCGGTTTTACCTCTGACACTATATTCGCTATATTCTCTAATTACACTATATTCCCTAATTATACTACATATGCTATATTCCCTAATTACACTAAATACGCTATATTCCCTAATTACGCTATATACTATTAATTACACATCTGTCCTTGTATGTATTACCGACGATCCTATTCTGGTTCGTGACATTGTCTAAATCCTCAATAACTGTTAGACGTAATTATTATAGCATATTGTTTGAAGTTGTATCAAACATCTTGATTATAAGATTCTGATTCTCCATATAAAATTTCCAATCATGTTTTTGGTCTTACACTAACAATCTTTAACTGCAAAAATTATTATTCGAACAATCAGCTTTCTAAATTTATCCACACATTTGAAAGAAAGTGGCTAATTACATTAGCATTAAGGTCAAGGTACCTGTAATCTTCTGCATTACACCAAGACAAATTTAGACATATTTTATATCGATATGCCCTCTTTTTGTTTCATTTCTTTAACGCAGCAATTAACTATATCACCAAGTTATCAAAACTTTCTATTATGTTATGGGATAAGGTGGCGCACTTATAAAAATGGTAATAAATCTAGCAAAAAGTACAGATTTAATTTATTAAAACATTATAATATTTGCGTGCAAGCTAACAGGAGGAAACGTACCCGATCCAAAGGGAATCCAACACACGGTGTGATCAATTAAAACTAAAATTATTTATTTTAGTTTTAATTGATCACACTGTGTGTGGGATTCCCTTTGGATCGGGTACGTTTCCTCCTGTTGTGCAAGCCAACTCATGATTATCTTGCGTCGAACATGCAACATAATGTCAGATCATATTTAAGCAAGTTATGATAACTAAAATAACCATAGCATATATTATTTAAAAGATGGCATATTAGAACTATGAGCATAGTAATTAAAAAAATTTTAATAGTTTTAAAGGCTCTTTGTATCAATTCTATCCAGTTTTAGATACAGATAAATTTGAAAAAATATAATTTTCTGTGATCTAACATGCGTAGCAAGTACTATTTTAAATATAAAAAATATCGAATAATATAATTTTAATGATCTTAATATAAAAATAATACTTTATTTGTTATATGAAGTTTTTTTTATTAATGAGAACTCAATCATCAATAAGCTTGAAATCTAAGGAAACTATTCTAATATAGATCTTTCACTAGGCCAAATTTGTTACAACTTCGCTCGATTGTCTAAAATTTTTAAAACTGTTACGTAATGTGACGATGCAAAATTTAATGTCTCTTTTACAGTAATAATTATATTAATGGTTTCCGACAACGCTCTTACCTTGCTTTCGGGTCTCTTCTTTTTTCTCCTTCTCTACCAGTAGGGATTAAAAGGTAGTGTAATGTTAGAAATTCAAAGCATTGCTGATATAGCAGAAATGCTGATGATAAGCAAAATTAAATTGAACATAAATTTTAAACATACCAGATGATAAGAAAGTCTTTAAATATTCAACTTTCTCTTTTCTATCATAGATAGAGAAAAGAATTTGGTTTACTTTAGTTTCATCGTGATGTGTAAAATATTGGCGAAGCCTTGTTTTTTCTTCAGGTTCAAGCGGAAGAATGTTAATTTGGGTAAAAAATGAACTCGACATCGTTTATGCGTAGAAGAGATAGAAAGAATAATAGATCGGGTATTTATAACTCAGGTTATAAAAATTAGAGTGCCTTATAAAATGATTTTAATAGCATATTTATCTTCGCACGCTTGACATTATACTAGTACTAATTAGCACATGCAACGAAAATTCTATTCTCTATTATTTAATCAAGCTTTATATACTTAAAAATGGTACAGTATTGAGAATCTTAAAGTTTTAACGAATGTGTTTAAACGTTATAATTTTTGTTATATAATGAATGTTTGCTTTTCGTCTGATATCATCGCTCTCACATTTCTTTGTACCACGCAGAGATCAATGAAATTTAATTGATTCAACTGCGCAGCATGTGCATACTGCGTATATATCGTAAATTCTGTAAATAACGGACATGGGGAAACAAGTATTTCCTAAAAATAGTATAGCTGGTTTTGAAATAACGCCCAAGTTGTCCCAAATTTTGCTCGTGCATTTTTTAACTTTAATAATGAATTCGGCTTGGTACTGAGAAAAGGGAAAAAAAGGTTTTGCAGAAAATTGATTTTTATTTTATAAATTATATAATAAATATAAGTTGATCTTTATATCAGAAATTATATAATAAATATAATAAAATAAAATCTTTGAAGAATTGTACTGCAATATTTTATTAAAATACCAGCATTTGTTCCTTAAGCGTGAAATATTTCTAGACTAATTTTGGTTTAGTTAAGCTCGATTTTTTTTTTTTAACAAAAAAAAATATCAATTTCCCCCTTTTCTCAGCACCCAGCCCGAATATTAACCATAGCCAGGGAACAGGAGCGACAGTTCAATTTCGTAGATTATTCCGATAGAAATAGGATCGATTTTCCGTTCACGTGATTTTCCGATGTCATATAAAAAATTTTATTTACATTAGGGTTTGGGTCAGGGTTTAAGTTAGGGTTTGGGTTTGAGAGCAATAGTATAGTAAAATTGCACGAGGAAAATTTTTTGTTAGGACCAAAAAGGCGATTTACTAGTCTATATTTTCTTTACACCTGATCTCAGTTTTTAATTGGCTAACTGACATCGGAAAATCACGTGAACGGAAAATCGATACTATGCGTGGCGTTGTTATTCCGATATACGTTTTACACTACTTCTTTTAAAAGCTCAGGTAATTTTAACTTTCTATGAAGCAAGAGTAAATTTAACGGATGAATTAATGCTTTCGCTTCGCCTTATAACATATTCTTTGAATCCCATCCATTTTTTTGCAACCAGATTGGCCGATTTACTAAGATTCGATATACAATTGGTTGATAATCATGTGCAACTATATCAGAATTATCTATTTAGCCAGGGAAGATAATTTTCTGCGATGATTAATTTTGCTCGATACGATAGTATCGAGGCAGCTTCATGACAGGCATGTGACATTGGGTTTCTCACAAAAAAATTTCCGACACGTGATCATAAACAATTAGATTGAAGGATCAGGTGTAACGTGAAAAGTAAGTCTTTTTAAAGAATCACTATTAACCATAAGAAACTGCCTTCTGCGTTCTAATAAAAAAATTATCATAAATTTAGAATAAGCTATGCCCTTCCTCATTATTAATCCTAACTCTAAAGTCGATGCTTATTACTTTAAACTCTTTTCGCTTAATTCAATTGTTTTAAATTTTACGTTACACCTGATCCTTCGTTTTAATTGGCAGAAAATCACTTGCCAGAAAATTTTTTGTGGGTGAGCTTTTTAAATCAAAACTATATTAAAATTTAGTATCGAATTTTTGTGAAACCATGTCGATTTTATTCACGTACAAGAGATAATAAAATTTTTAAGGGCTTCAAATTGGACCAAATGCTTGTACAAACTGTAAATACACTGGCGATCATAAATAAGGGTGCCCTAATTTCTCCCACCACTTCTAATTGGATGTCTGAAAATGTTATCTCTGATTGGACAAAATAGATTACGCAATTTTTCATTGACAA